TCCATGTCTTTATGGACCTTGCTTTGTGCACTGGTGCGCAGTCATGTTGGAACAGGAAGGGGCCGTCCCCAAACTCCTCCCACAAAGTTGGGAGCATGAAATTGTCCAAAATGTCTTGGTGTGCTGAGGCCTTAAGAGTTCCCTTCACTGGAACTAAGGGGCGGAGCCCAACCCCCGAAAAAAACTTCTCAGAAGCTGCTGTTCTCTAGCCCCAGTCCCCCTGCAGAGTTTCTAAAATACCTGCTGATCCCGCCACTGTACACACAGTTTCCTGTGATGGGGGTGACAACGATGGTGCACTTCTCCTGCATTCAGAGCATAGTTGTCACCCTCATGTAGGCGGTGCTTCCTGGCACAGGGGCAGATTTTTAAATTAAGCATACAAGCAGCTGCTGTCCTCTCCCCTCCGCGCTCCATCATCACCTCTGGTTTTGACTTTCTCTTGCAGATAAGCCGGACCCCCCGGCCGGGCAGCCCTGCGCCTCGGTGATGAAGGGGTCCGCCCTGACCCTGTCCTGGTACGGCCCCACCTACGACGGAGGCAGCGTGGTCCAGTCCTACACGGTGGAGATCTGGGACTCGGTGGGCAAGGCGTGGGCCGACCTGACGCAGTGCCGGAGCACCTCCTTCAACGTGGAGAACCTGCTGCACGACCGCGAGTACAAGTTCCGGGTCCGGGCCACCAGCGTGTACGGAACCAGCGAGCCCAGCCAGGAGTCCGACTTCGTGGCCTACAAAGAGGAGGTCGAAGGTAACAATTGGAATGATTTCGGCTTCTTTAAAGGGCCACGCCACCCAAAAACATTTCTCATTTCTTCAGAATTCTGAGATATTTGGGCTGATCCAGTGATCCCATCATGGACGTGATTGGTCGTGCTGGTCACATGACAGGATCAAGTAGAAATCTGCCCCCCCCCCCTAACCCCATTAAATCCTATGTGCTGCAGCGCTTCATTACAAGTCCATCTGATCTCACAATGTTCTCCTAGTCCCCCTTCAAAGTCCCACAAATACCTGTTGGTGCTGCCGGTGAAGTCCACCTAATGCAGCTTCCTGAGACGGGGTGACAACGACGCTGCACTGCTTCTGAATTCAGAGCAGAGTTGTCACACTCGGCTTGCACTAGAGTGGGAGGAGAAAATGTTACAGAGGGGGTGTGGCTATCAACATTGTCACTGCCTGTAGCTTGTCATTCAGCACCTGGCCCCGCCCAGTCCAACCCACTGCTTTCTGAATTGACAGCGCTGTCTCTGCAGCTGAATCCCTCCCACTGTGAGCTGCAGTGCCTGGGAGGGGGAGGGGGTGAGACAGAAATGAAGGAGGATTTGGCTCAGTCAGGGGAGGGAAAAGGAAGTATTTTGTACGTCACATATAGGCTGGATCTGGGACTCAGGAGACTGTAAATGTTACTTATCACAGAGATGTGTAAAGATTCGGAATTCCTTTAGTAAATCCGCCTCAATGAGTCCTCCCCACTCTCCAACATTCATCACAACAACCAATCACTTTCTCTTATATTCCTCCAGGACATAAAGATGAAGTTGAAGTGTCTGATGATGGTGAGTGACCAATATATACATATATGAGTGGTGGGGGAGGGGGACATTAGAGTGTAAGCTCCTCTGTACAGAGACTGATGTGACTGTGGGGGGGGGAGGGACATTAGAGTGTAAGCTCCTCTGTACAGAGACTGATGTGACTGTAGGGGAGGGGACATTAGAGTGTAAGCTCCTCTGTACAGAGAGTGATGTGACTGTGTGGGGGAGGGGACATTAGAGTGTAAGCTCCTCTGTACAGAGACTGATGTGACTGTAGGGGAGGGGACATTAGAGTGTAAGCTCCTCTGTACAGAGAGTGATGTGACTGTGTGGGGGGAGGGGACATTAGAGTGTAAGTTCCTCTGTACAGAGACTGATGTGACTGGCTCAGTGTTCTCTGTACAGCGCCGCGGTATATGTTGGAGCTATATTATGAGTCTGACTCAGGAGGGGGTAAGTGTTCTCATCCAGGAACAGGTTTCTGGGAATATAAATTGTGTGTTTGTGTCCCGCAGAGGATAAGGAGACGGAGCCGGAGTACCGGAATGTCGTCCTAAACACCACACAGAAGGTGTCGGAGTTCTATGATGTGGAGGAGCGGCTGGGGACGTGAGTACGATGTGGGAACCGTTGTGGGATCTTTATTGTGCCCTTCCGCCGCGTCCCACCAGTCTGGGCTGCCACTCTCACGGTCACATGATTTATACTTCCTGCCGTTCACACATACCGGAGTGTGGGAAATCCTTCAGCTGGACGGGCCGAAAAAGGAAAAAATACAAATATGATTTGTAGCAGAAGCTGTGTCCAGGGAAGGTGACACCACACCTCCGACGCTCATACAGATGATGATGATGATGTGGGAAAGGCGCAGAGAGACGGCAACTTTGTATAATTATTACTTCCAAATGTTGCAATCTGACCTTACGGGGGGAACTCTCTTTCTTTTAGTGCAGCGGTCGCCAACCTTTCGGACCTCATGGACCACTAAATTCATCATTTTAAATCACGCGGACCACTAATATACATTTTTTTCAAATATATATATATATATATAAAGTCAGTGTGAGGCAGCCCCCGGAGCCTCCGTACCGCTTCAATGACGGCCCAGCCTGCACGGCATCAGAGGGGCCCGGGGACCACCAACATTTTCTCTTGGACCGCCAGTGGTCCACGGACCACCGGTTGGCGAGCGCTGTTTTAGTGTATGTGAACTGGTTGGTGATCACATGACTTCTGTGATAGTTTTGATACATTGTAAGCATTTATTTTTAAAGTTTAGGCTGTAAATGAAAACATGTAACAAATCTAAAGTAAACATTAACCCAATTTTGCTGACAAAGTGGAAATAAACTCTCACAGAGCCGGTGACACACTTAGGCGACACCCTACCGCGCGGCAATCGTGCACGAGAACGCCTTTTTTTCTGCGATACACGATGAGCGGCTGTTTTAGGAAGTGTTCAGAAGCACGGGCGGAATCGCAGCGGCAAACTGCGTGAACCGCCCGGCGCGACTGGTGTGCTATGGAAAAATAATGTCACCCTCTGCACGATCGGTCCACACCTGGGCGACTCCGGACCGCGCGGAATCGTGCATGATTGCCGCGCGGTGGGGTGTCGCCTAGGTGTGCACCGGCCCTCAATGAAACAAATACAAAACCCAGCCATCAGTGTGTACAGCATCCTATAGTGAACAGATCATCCCCTGATCCATTCACACATGGCCAGTTCAGATGATCTTCTGGCACCTTCTCCTTCATGTGAGCTGGAGATAAAAATACTTTTATATATGTATTTGTCTATAAAGAATGATCTCAGCTCCCTTCTCCTCCTCCCACAATACAATGTTGTCATCAGTTGGTTATTTAGCGAGAAGATCGATGTGAACAGCAGTGAGTAGAAGGGAATATCTTCTGTGGTTCTGTATGACACTTAGGGGGCTATCTATAAACATTTTTCAAGCCATTCCCCCCCCCGTGAATCTCTGTGAACATTCACTCTGTGTGAATAGAGGCAAAAAACAAATGTTCTTGTAAGATTGAATGTAATGCAATACCTCATTATGGCCTCTAGATGGAGCTGAGGAGCATAGGAAACAAGTAGAGCCTATGCTCCTCAGCGCCATCTAGTGGCCATTGTGCAGTATTGCATTGCATTCAATCTCAAAAGAAAGTATACTAAGAACGCAGGGGGAATGGCTCAGCAAAAAGAGACCCCATAAGGTTCTAAAACACCCCGAGGCCCCTGCAAAACATGGAAAAGTTAGTAACGGTTTATGTATGTGAGTGTTGAGTATCGCAGAGTCCTTGTGAGATGAGGGTTTTGTTTTCGGAGTGTCGTGTGATCCCCCCTCTGGAGGATGAGGACGTACATGCCGTGCAGGCTGTCTGTCATTTGTTTGTTGCGCAGATATTAAAAGTTTCCCAATGTCACAGCGTGTGAAAAATCCGCCGCGGGAGCGTTATCCCTCCAGACATGACAGCGGCTGCTTAATAATAACTTGCGGTGGATGACAAGGAATGGCGTTTGGATCTGGGTGCCCATTCCTCCTTCCACTGGGAAAATCCCCAATTGTCTCATAATGTCTGTGGCACATTCTTCACATAGATCCCGACATATGTGCAGAGATCGGGGAGCCGGTGCCAGATAATGAGGAGGCAGAGGAGAGGGCTGTGTGCAAACATGACACAAAGTCATGTTGTAAATCATTTCAGAGCCATGCCATCCTCAACCCTGGGAGTACCAACTTAACGTCGCTGCCCTGCGATAACCTGGAGAGCGGTGATGTCACTCCTGTATAATATACACTATATCACCAAAAGTATTGGGACGCCTTTACACACACATGAACTCTAATGGCATCCCAGTCTTAGACGTGCGCTTCATCATGCGCCGACCCCGCTCTGTCATGTGACGTGGCCGACCACTTCCTGGCTGAGTTGCTGTTGTTCCCAGTTGCTTCCACTTTGTTATAATCCCAGTAACAGGTGACCGCGGCGGAATATTTAGTAGCCGGGAAATGTCACGGACGGACTTATTGCGCAGGTGACAACCTATCACGGCACCGCGCTTGTAGTCACTGAGCTCCTGAGAGCGACCCGTTCTCTCACCAATGTCTGTAGAAGCGTCTGCACGCCGAGGTGCCTCATCCTATACACCGGGGGCCATGGAGGGGACTGAAACATCTGAATCCAATGATATGGAGGGGGAGGGGCCCAATTCTTTTGGCAATATAGTGAAGGGAATTTATCAAAACTGGAGCAGACAAAATCTGGAGCAGCCGTGCATAGCAACCAATCGGCTTCTCTCTTCAGTCTAGATTTGAAAATGAAAGAGAGAAGTTGATTGGTTGCCGTGCACAGCTGCTCCAGTTTTGATAAATTCCCCTTACAGTGTATCTTCTATCTGGAGAGCGGTGATGTCACTCCTGTATGATATATCTTATATCTGGGGGAGAGCGGTGATGTCACTCCTGTATGATATATCTTATATCTGGAGAGCGGTGATGTCACTCCTGTATGATATATCTTATATCTGGGGGAGAGCGGTGATGTCACTCCTGTATGATATATCTTATATCTGGGGGGCGGTGATGTCACTCCTGTATGATATATCTTATATCTGGGGGACAGCGGTGATGTCACTCCTGTATGATATATCTTATATCTGGGGGGCGGTGATGTCACTCCTGTATGATATATCTTATATCTGGGGGGCGGTGATGTCACTCCTGTATGATATATCTTATATCTGGAGAGCGGTGATGTTCATCCTGTATGATATATCTTATATCTGGAGAGCGGTGATGTCACTTGGTTGTAAATGTTGTGCTGAACCAATATGACCTATTGAACATGTGGACGTTGGTCGTGTGTCTGAGTGTCATGTGACCTTTTTTTTCTCCATCTTTCAGCGGTAAATTCGGACAAGTGTTCCGGCTGGTCGACAAGAAGACCAGGAAAATTTGGGCAGGAAAATTCTTCAAAGCGTACTCCGCCAAGGACAAGGAGAGCATCAGGCAGGAGATCGACATCATGAACTGTCTGCACCACCCCAAGCTGGTCCAGTGCATAGACGCCTTCGAATCGAAGAGCGACATGGTGATGGTCCTGGAACTGTAAGTGACATCATCGTCAGCCAATCAGATGAGGGCACACATCTCAGCAGGAGCTGCCATTCTCCCCCCCCCCCCC